ATTCAATGTTTGTAATGGCTCAGCCATTCCCAGAAACTTTTGAGTTCTCTACCCAGTTCTGCCAATTCTGCCACTGACATGTTGGCCCTGGGCAAATCACTTACACTGAAATTCTCAAAAGTGGCTTCTTTTAACTTCAATGGGCGTTGTCAATGCTCTCTACTTGGGAAAGTCCAGGCCCAAGGTGTCCCCGGTCAGATACTCAAAAATTGAGATACTCAAAATCACTAGTTTCAGAATGGCAGCTGTGTTAGTCTGTATCAACAAAAACAACGAGGCGTCTTTGTGGCACCTTAGAGACTAACACATTTATTTGGGCATAAGCTTTCATGGGCTAAAACCCACTTCATCAAAATCACTAGCAACTTTTGGAATATTTAACCTCTCTCATTTCCCCTTCTGAAAACTCAGGATAACAGTTTTTACGTACTGCAAAACGTAAAATGTGATGATTACTTAGCTAATGTTTGTACAGCCGCTTTGCAAATGTGAAGTGTTGGAAGTGCTAAGTGTTGTTATAATTGCCAATTAGATTGTATAAAGCAGCTTGGAAAAAAGATACCATCCTCTAGCTCTCCCACAGCACATTCCTATTCTTTCCGGTGATACGTAGGCAGACAGGGTCTGATGTACAGTATAGGATATTTTTGTGAATAAGAAAACGGGAAAGTGTGCGCTGTTTTCCTGCTTTGTATTGAACTGCTGCATATATTACTGTCCAAAATACAAACCGATTCAAAAAGGTTGTAATAGCAGAAAGAGGTTTTTTAATTAACATCTTTATGAAAATCCTCTGTAATAATAGGCAAAATGCAAGATGAACTGACTTGACTTATACAGCCAAAGTGGTGAATCGTGGCTGGGTGTTGCACTGAGAATTAGCACCAGCCACTTATTGCTTACACATGAGGTGGGGAAGTTTGCAGCTGTATATGTGCAGCACTACTTATTTTTCATTTTATAAATGACTTGATTTTAAACAATACAATGAAAATAAGCATTGAGACCCTAGAGAGTATCCTCCAGTTATCATTAGCTGGATGCAGTTTGAATTAACATGCTTACATAGACATCTGTGTATATTAATCGTAAAGCCAGACACTGAACAGGGGTGGAATACTGAAATGCATCATTTATATATATTTTTTAAAAAACAAATAGGGGCATAATTTATAAGATCACCTTCAGATGTGGCGTACAGAGTGAATTGCTTTGAAAACAACAAACACATCAATGTGAGATGCAGTTTCTTGAGAAGGCAGGGACGGAAATAATTGAAGAGAGCAGTGCCTTAATTTAAACCTCTGTTGAAAGGGGTTGAAAAAGCTGACTTGACATTCAATTTACACATTGAGACCAATGCTGAATAAGCTGCAGCGAGGTGTGGCGGCCGCCATCTTGGCTGACACAGCAGGGACTGAACCAGAGACCTCCAGAGCTAAAACGCGTGAGCTGCAACAGCCTGAACTGAAGAGCCAAAGCTTTACAGCTAGGACAACTCCTGTCCTTTGCGGATTGATGCAGAGGGGGACCTATACCACATATTCTCCAGTGTGTTACATAGGCACTGCTAGCCAGCCGACTACTCCTGTTTTAATTCCTTATCTCTAAAACCGATGGAGAGAGCTACTTTTCCCACAGCAACCAGAATTCGAGTCTCAAAACCCCTAAGATGACTAGCACATGACTTCTAGCTGGTGAGATCAGAATCACAAATACTGCAAGTGGGGTAATAGTTTTAAGGAAAGCTGCAGAATTTTAGGGCCCAAGCACCTGCATGCATGTGTTTACTTTGAACCAAGGTTATGATATGGCAGTTATTCAAGAGTTACATGGTGCTCGTTTGTGCAGAGCACAGTAATTTGTAACATAATCAAAGATGCTTTGGATGGGTTTCTGATTTCAGAAGCAGACTTTGGACTTGGCAGACCTAGGAGTTACATGTAAAGGCCTCAGACATGAGGAGACCATTCAGCGTCAAAAAGATGCACTGACTGAGCTCCGAGACAGAATCAAGACGCTGGAAAAGACTCCGTCTTTAAGTAAGTACAGCACGCAGTTCTTCTGCTAGAACATTTCCTGGTAATTGTGTAGGTTGAATATAACTGAAAGGGATACTGGGCTCTTTCACAACAGTGAAAGAAATCAAATTTGTGATGTTGGGATTACTAAATTTTCATAATATATCATGACTAGGGCCCCAGTCCTCCTAAAACTTACCCACGTGCTTAACATTAAGCACACGAGTAGTCCCATGCAACAGACTAGGAATAAGTTAAGCATGCGTGTAAGTCTTTGCAAGACTGGGGCCTAAACCAATAGAATGTTTAAAGCTAGGAAAGGCAACTAGCCTAAATTGTGCAACCATTGTCCTTATATGGCCAAAATCTGCTCTTACTTTCACCAGCGTAACTGCATAAAGTTGAATGGATTTACACTTCGGCAAAACCAGGCCCATAGTTAAATGATAATAGATGCATACCGTGTATCATTCAGAGATAGTCAAGTGTATATACGTATGAAGGGGCTATATCCTGCTCAGAGGTCAGCAAAATGAATCAGCAAGAAGAACCCTTTAAGCTCTGTTCACTATATTTTAAGATTCAGATACTGAGCAGAGGTCTGACTAGACATCTAAATATCATGGGCCACATCTACTCCTGATATAGGCAGGTACAACTCCACTTAAGTCAATAGTTATGCCTGCTTATACCAGCAACGAACTTGGCTCTGCGAGCAGTATTAATACAGTAAGTTATATGTGTTTTTGCTGTGAGATTCCTTTCCTGTTTTAATTTAACTTTTTTAATTGTTCTCTCTCTACATTTGAAGCTGGGCAAAGTGATTCCCTAGTGCTCATTGAGCTAACACGCTAAAAATAGTCGTGTAGCTGCAGTAGCAGCGTGGCTAGCCCATACTGAGTACAAACGTGCCTGAACCCCCTGGGTACATACTTAGCACAGCTAGCTTGTGCCACTGCTGGCTGCGCTGCCCGGCAACACTATTCTATGTAGTGCACTAGCTAGATGAAAACTAGTGCAAGTATGTCTGTGCGAGCTGGGAATCACACCCCTAGCTCCAAGTATAGAAGTAGCCTCATTCTCTGTCGACCGTTTATACATCTTCAGAAAAATATTGAAGATAAGTATAATCCCCATAAAATTCCAGGATTAGAATAGTAATTTCCAGGGCAATCCCTAAATTTCAAACCTGGAGTACAGTGTCTGATTACTAGATTTATCGTGGGTTATGTTCCTGATTTTATGAGAAAAACATGCCATGTGTTACCCATTTTATATTTATATTTTTACAGGAAAATGTCTTTAGGAAATTTTGAGAACTATTATTAAAACAGTGTGCTTTTAGTAAACCCATTACATCTTACATGTGACAATATAACAACTCTGCGTGGGGGGTTTTCTTGTTCCCTTAGCTATTAAAGAGAAGGTTCCTGAGCCACTTATAGTGCTAAAGAAAGACCTATCTGAGAAAATAGCTCAGAAAATAGGCTTAGAAAAGGAACGTGTGCCATCATCAATAAAAAAAATGGAGGCCAAGGTAAACAGAATTTTATATATTATTTTAGTTGTGGTTTCATTAGAATACATAGGAACATTTTTAAGGTGCAATAAGAAAACCTACAGATAAATATTCCTTAATATCTTTGACTTTTTAGTACAGTTCTTGAAGTCATCTGTCTTTACAAAAAGTGACTTCCTGTAACTATATCTATATAGAACGTTTCCAATATCTCTCTCCTTTAACTCAGCCTTACACAGTGAATGTTGAGTTAACACTTTTAGGCTGAGATTTTCAAAGCTGCATAGAAGATTCAGACACCCAGTTCTCAATATTTTTCACTTCAATAGACTAGTGCTGATTTACACCAGCAGAGGATCTGGCCCCACTGCCCCTACGTCCTCTGTGGGTCCATCTTACTGTCTGCCTTTAGGCTGTGAACCATGCAAAAAGGCAACAAAATGTATACGGAGAACAATAAAGGAACTCCCCTGATAGTGTGAATGAGTGTAAAAAACCAAGGAAGCCAATTGGTGGAATCAAGTGGCGTTTAAGTTGACGTGAATGTTTTGATGCGCACATTATAGTTTTTTAAATCATTTTCTGCCTTAAAAAGTCAATGGTAGTATGGGCAAGCTCTAGCTAAAGAGAAGAGTGTCATAGCAGGAAAAAATGAACAGCACACAATATCTACAAAACCCAACAATCACTGGGCACTGAGCAAGAGGGGGACCCTAATTAAAAGCCGGTAGAAAGATTCATGTGGAGGTGGTGCCCCTTTTGAGGGTGGATCAGAGAAGAAAGAGACATGGTTAACCAGAAATCAGGTGTGTTTAACATGTCATTTAGTGTACTTTGCACAACAACATAATAGGCCTTCTGGCAGCCAGAAATGACACACTTTGACATTGGTGGGTATTTTTTCACCACAGCTTTGGGTTCTTGCGGTTGTTTTGTTTGTTTGTTTTCTGTGGGAGGGAGAACAGGATTTGGTCTGCAAGTAGTAAGGAGATCCATTACTCTGTCTATTTCAGCTTCCAAGCCATTTTCCCAACACATATTCAAATGTAGCCTTAGAGAGGACAGCAAAGTTGGAAATGTCTGATGCTTTAGACCTCAGCGAGAAGATGGTATGTAAATAAAAGACAAGGTACAATCACATTCGGGAACTGTATATTGTGGGTCCTGTTAAAATCAGTTTCAGAATTTAGTGATCAGCTTCCAAGTACCCTGGGAATCTCATGTATTTCTTAGAGTATGAATTCGTATCTGCAGGAACTTCAAAACCTCTGTTAGCTGCCTGGGAAATATACAGACCGAGCAGCTCCCAATGGCATGTGTTTCTTTTCCCTTCAATTTTAACCTCCAAAAAAATGTTCCCTTAAAAGACCTTAGATCTTTGAATGTCTCCTTAGTATGGCATTAAAATAAAGCCCAAATGATTTATGTAGCCAGACTGCCCTCCAGCTAATGGGCCCCTTCAATGGCATGACAGCTTACTGCAGTGGATATGTGCTGGGGTATGCTTTGCTTTAAAAGAAGAGAGGATATATAGGAATAAATAGCCTGAGACATAGGGATGTTTAAAATGTATTTTAATGAGTTGGGAGCAAGTGCCATCCTTAACCTTCTCTAAAACACAGACCACACACACTATGTAAAGCCAAATACTCAGCCCCTTTCTGAGGTTTGGCAAAATTAGCAATGTTTAGTTCAAGCCTTTTCCCCAAGCTTAGCTGCTCCTAGCATTCCTACCTCCGAACTGCTCTTCTGTCTCTACTGCTGCCTGCCTTGTGCAGAGTGGGATTATGAGCCACGAGCATTAGTGAGTCAACAAAACACACTAAATACTTTCCCCTCAGAATCAAGACTGACTAACAGGGCAGGGTGTTTCAGTCAAACATTACGAAGCCTGTTGCACATGTGGTGCATGATATAAGAAGGGCTGTGTACGTAGAGAAGCCTCTAAACTTCAGGAGACATAGAGGACTGAGTGTTCCGTATGCGAATATATGGTTGGGTATCCCTCTGACTGACTGGAAGTGGAAGACCGAACCAAAAATCCAGTAAAACAACTGGTTCAACTCCCATGCTGTGTTGAGGTGGAAGGAGTTTTTGCTATATCAGTCTAGGCCTTTATAGCCTGCCCATCATCTGAATGCTTCACCCCACACTTTCCACTTCAGCAGAGGTTATCTGAGTGACAGCTCTCCGCTTCCCCACACAGCAGAGGTTATCTGAGTGACAGCTCTCCGCTTCCCCACAGTTTGGGTCTGAGAATGTTTCCACCTGATCCTGCATATCCCCAGTAACGGCTTTGTGAGCCGCTGCTGAGAACCACTGCCCAAGGACACAGTCAGTGCGCTGACTCATCTTGTTTCTATTTATGTCCCAATTACGGTGTGTTATTTATCTCCCCTTTTTTAAAATGTGCTGATCATCACCAAATAACTGTAAATAAAATCTCCCTATTTTAAACCCAACGGCGACATTTCATCCTGGTTTCTACTTCCTGGAAACAACACTGACCTCCAAGGTCTAGTTAGTTTTGAGTCCTTATGCCTCCATTACATCACTTTTTACAGATCCAGACTAACATGGCTACCCCTCTGATACTTAACCCAACAAATAGTGACTTGAGAACCATTGGATGCTGATCCAGTTCTGCACCTAACTGCTTCATAGTCAAATTAATTTGTCTAATACATTATGAATGAATTTACATATTTGGTACGTTATTGTTCTGCTTGATTCCTTAGGAACACATAGAGAGGATAAGGAAAAAAATAGGTTAAATTTAAATGAAGAGGCTAGCACACAATCATTTATTTACTACCTTTGAATCCTTTACACTAAAACAGAATGAAAGCAGATGGGTTGAGCAGTGTGAGATTTTTCTAATTAGGAGTCAGCACACCTAGTAAATAATTCATTCTCTCCTCTTCATACAGTACCTCAACTTAATTCATGCTCTTGGAAGTCTGATGAATGTGAAGGAGCTGACAGGAGTGCAGTCTGTTAAGCATCTTTCTCAGGATGAGAGGGAAAAAGTGAGACTGCAACGACAGAAGGACCTTGAGCTGCTGTACGATAAGATCAGTAAACTCAAGAGTCGGCTAGAAAGGAAAGAAGAACTACTGAAAGAGTATGAGTCAGACATTGGACAACTCAGGTAGAGAAAACACACTTATTTACTATTTGCTAAGAGCCATGAGAGTGGATCCAGCTGTTTTAGCAAAAAGACCCAAAACTGTGACAAAAATTTGTGAGAAATCTAGCGAAAGGAGCATATTTACAATTCAGTTTTAATTACAGTATCCTTTGGTGTTTCCATCAAAACATTCACTATGTTATTGCGTGGAAATAAAGCTGGCGTAAGCTAGGAAATGCCCTCTTTGAACTTCATAGCTCTCTAAAATGGTATCTTCTAAGGCCACATCAAGCTAACCAATGAAATACATTAGGAATTCTATTTAAAAACTAACCATACAAGATGGCACAATGTCTATTATTGTATTAAATACCTATGTGTTGTTAGGATTGTCCATTACAAACTATGTATGGAAACTGTATGCCCAGTTTTCAGAAATGGATATTTTAATAGGACATCCAAATTCTGAGCCCCTATATCAGCACTTAGGCATTCATTCATTTTAAGCATCTGAGTGCCCATTTGAAATCCAAGTTTAGGGCTGGTCGCTTAACTACATCCCATAGAAACTCGCATTTGAAAATAGAATCCTGCAGATGAAAACGATATCTAAAGGTTTGTAGTATGAGCAGAGGGGCGACGGCTGCTTCTATTCTGCTGCAACATTACTCTTGTCTGTTTTTCCTCTTCGAGATTTATTATTAGTAACAGATATAATAATTATATAGTCTTTAATTATTTATATGATTCTTTGAAGAATCCATGGCAAGTGATGCAGTGTTATTCTGCTTAATCATATGCATCACATGTGGTGTTTGTCTCGTACAAGAAAAATGTCTAAACAATTTGGAAAACGAAGCCAAAAAGAACAGTGGAGTGTTGGATGAGATTCCCTGGAATCTCTGGTTAAAATTCCACCCCGAAATTGAAGGAAAGGTTGGAGTTATTTCCCTGCCTATGAAGAAATCCCCATCCCTGTGGATAGTAAAGTCTCCCTAACAGAACTAGCTATCCCCAGAACACACAAAAATGCTTTTTAAAGGAATTTTTTTTACTTTGAAATGTACAAAATTGCCCCAAATGTGCAGGTATTTTCAACATAATTCCTAAGGACAGAACTCCCAGCAGCCCCTCTTGAGTCTTCACCTAGTGTTCACAATCATGCACACCGAACGATGTGCTGTGCTGTCCTCACACTCCATGTACTTTGCAGAAATCAAGTATAAACATTCCTAGCAAACACACTCAGTATGTTGTCTGTGGAATGATGCTACCTCCTTGCTTGGTTGTGGTATGAGAAATCATTTTTGTTTCAATAGGACGAGTAGATTCCCCATCCCTAGCCATTCCTTTCAGCAGAGACATGCAAAGAGAGGCGTTTATCGTGGACTAAGGAGAAATTTTTGTGGGAAGTCCTTGTTAAAATATTTTCAGCATTTCACAGGAAAAAACAGGGGACCTGTTTCTCATTTACACTAAGGCCTTTTCCATGCCTCTGGTAGTGTAAAGGAGGCTTAAAATGGGTGTACATGTAATTTATCCTCTCTTTTTAGGGCTCCTTACACTGCCAGAGATGTATCAAGAGGCTGTAGCGTAGATGAGAATAAAGCCCAAAAGACTTTATCTCTTCTGTTTTGTACAGGGCGAATAAGGTATCTTTGCAAGCGTACCAGGCCGAGATGACTAAACTGGAAGATGAAGTCTATAGAGAAGCAGAAGAGAATGCTCTGCTAAAAGAGGCTCTAGAGAGGACACAGTTCCAGCTGAATCAGGAGAAAAGATTGAACAGAGCTGTTAAACTGCATAAGGTAACGGTCTAGGGACAAACGTCATGGCAGTGCTTCCATGAACCTGGTAGCTAAACATTCTCTTCTCCAGCTGTGTGTTGGACAGTAACCTAATGATTTAGGGGGGCTGAATTTTGGTAGGTGCTGCTTGGAAACATCCTTGCTGTGGCAGGCACCAATGAAAGATGATAGAGATAGCTGCAGGGTTAACATGGAGATGTCACCCTGCAATCCAAACACCACAGAACAAGACCCTCCAAGTTTTGACTTGGGTATGTGGAGGAGGGAGGGGAGCTAATCACAAACATGTAGTAAGCTGGAAAGGCCTCTGTGTGTCTATCTTTGCACAGGGTTCAGCAGATCCCAAGGAGCCTATCACGTTAATATGTAACCAAGAATAGAACTAGCTGAGATTTAGGACAAAAATAGTAGCACACTTGCTATTTTTTCCTTGATTTCTCTAATCTAGCTGTGTAGTGTCATGAGCTTGGAGAGTGCTTTGTAGCCCCAAAAGGGCATATGCTAAGTGGTTTTATCCTGACTGTCATATTTAGTTGATGCTTTGGGTCTTCATCAAAATGTCCCTTAGAAGGGTGAATTGCACATTGATACAAGAAAAGACAATTCATATTTGAAGGAAGTATTGAGATTAAACAATAATTGTCAGCAGTTAGCTGCTTTTTTCATTACAGCTTGATGTTGGCTTTGGGGAATGTGAGTAACTAAGTCTGCTTTAGGAACAGAGGGTCCTGTGGCACCTTTGAGACTAACAGAAGTATTGGGAGCATAAGCTTTCATGGGTAAGAACCTCACTTCTTCAGATAAGAAGGAATGCTGACAAATTGAAGGACAAGTCTTATGAGCAATTTATACAGATTATAATTGACTGCTGCAAGACAAAAACCTTAATAATGAAAAGAAAGATTCACACTTCATCCATTGGGATAAAAA